TGGCCCGGCGCCTCCCGACCCCTCCGCCCTCTCCCCCCTCGCCCACAGTTTCCTGCACGCCTGCAGCCCCCCCATCATACACGGGAACCTGACTAGCGACACCATCTTCATACAGCACAACGGCCTCATCAAGATCGGCTCCGGTGCGCGCGGGCGGGGCGGGGGCGGAGCTGGGGACCCGCGGACCCGGGCAGAGGACGCCCGACGCCCCATCCCGTTGACCCCGCTCTTCCTCCCCCGTTTTCTGTGCAGTGTGGCACCGCATCTTTTCCAACGGTGCGTGGGGACCCTGGGGAATGGAGGGCGGTGGAGAGGCCCGCCCGGCTCATCCCCGCGCTCGCCCTAGCGCTCCCGGACGACCTTCGAAGCCCCATCCGCGCAGAGCGGGAGGAACTGCGGAACCTGCACTTCTTCCCCCCGGAGTATGGCGGTGAGTCCAGGAGGCCCGGCCCCGGCCCCGCGCCCGCGCCGCGCCCTGAGTCGCTGTCCCTCTTTCAGAGGTTGCTGACCGCACTGCCGTGGACATCTTCTCCTTCGGGATGTGTGCGCTGGAGGTACTGGCCCCATGGCCTCCTGGCCCCCTTCCAGGTACCGGCTCTGTCTCACCTGTGCTACCCTTTCCTGGCACCTGACCTGGCCCTGCCCCCAGATGGCTGTGCTGGAGATCCAGGCCAATGGAGACACTCGGGTCACAGAGGAGGCCATCGCTGGTGCCAGGCACTCGCTGAGTGACCCCAACATGCGGGTAAGCAGCTTCCAGGTAGGGCTCCTGAAATGTTCCAGGCAGGCCTGGAGGTGCAGTGAGCCAGTGCTACTGAGGCATGTGAAGTCCCTGTCACACAAGTGCCCGCCTACCAGGAGGGCCTTACCTGGAGTGCATGTTGAGTTTTAGGTCTAAAGGCTCTAAGGCAGGGGTGGGGAACCTTTTTTCTGCCAAGGGCCATTTGAATATTTATAACATCATTCTAGGGCCATACAAAATTGTCAACTTAAAAATTAGCTATGAGAAAAGCTCTTAGGTTTATTGAATTTCGAGTCCTGCCTGCAGTTGCCTTGGCAGGGCCAGACCAAAAGATTTCTCGGCCTTATAATGATGTTCCCCACCCCTGCTCTGTGGACACATCTTAATGTCAGGGAAACCAGAGACATAGAGGGAGGGCACTATTGTGATGACCATTTTATAGGTAAAGAAACTGAAGCTCAGAGAGGCTAAGTACTTTACCCAAGGCTCTAGAGTAAGTAGTAGAGCCAGTGCTTGCACCAGGTTTGCCTGACTCTATGTCCTTGCCTTTAGGGGACAGGCTAGAGGTGATGTGGCCCCAACTTGTGGGGCAGAGGGGAGGCATGGTGGGCAGCAGGGGGGGTTGTCAAAGGGTGTATGTAGAAGCTTCATCCACAACCTCTCTGGCCAGAGTCTGGGAACTATCTGGCTTAACCACATGGCCTCTGGGGATGGGAGAGGGAAGTGATGGGGCCTGGATGGGGCTGGTGGGGAGGTGGAGCCAAAATAGACAGGAGTGGCAGACTGGTGCAAGGCATGGATAGGGGTGGGGGGCAGGGACCCATCAAGGTCATCTCCAGAGCTGGGCCCACAGCTGAGGCAACCAGAAGAGGGGTGGGCTGTGGTAGGTGGGTTCCTGCAAGGTCACATGACCTCTGGGGGCCTGGGCTGACCTGCTGGCACTCTGTGCAGACTTCCTCTTTGAATTGGGATGACAGTGCCTCCCCCGCCACCGTGATATTTGTGAGGATTGAGGGAAGTTCTGGCCCCAGGGCCTGACTGTCCTATTTGTAGGATCATGTCCTGGCTGCTGGCAGGATGCCTTTCCCTATGCACATTCCTGCACAAAAGTTCCACGGGGGTTGGACCCCTGTGGTCTGGGGACTTCAGGGCCTCCTCTCCTCACACTGGGGCCAGAGCGGAGAGACTCCATGAACCTCGGCCTCTTCTCTCCACCCCCCAGGAGTTCATCCTCTCCTGCCTGGCCCGAGACCCGGCCCACAGGCCCTCTGCCCACAACCTCCTCTTCCACCGCGTGCTCTTCGAGGTGCACTCGCTGAAGCTCTTGGCAGCTCACTGCTTCATTCAGCACCAGTGTGAGGGGCAGGTGGCCTGGGGGTGGGTCAAGGGCCTGGGGTTGGGATGAGAAGGAGCACTGCACGACCTGTGGCTCAGGGTCCACCACCCTGAGTGATCCTGTGGCCTACAGACCTCATGCCTGAGAACGTGGTGGAGGAGAAGACCAAGTCAATGGACATGCACGCAGTCCTGGCAGAGATCGCCCGGCCCCCCCGGCCCCCCCTGCAGTGGCGGTGAGCAACTACGACCCTGAAGCCTCCCTTTTCCACCTGGCCAGCCCCCACTTAGTCCTGCCCCACTGGCAGGGCAGGCTGGCCACCCACCCTCATGTGCTTCTCATGCCCTTGCCAGGTACTCAGAGGTCTCCTGCATGGAGCTGGACAAATTCCTAGAGGATGTCAGGTGAGAGCTGGCATGAGGTTGGGGAACAGGCACCTGCCAGGCTTGAGCCCCCAGCCATCCTGATGTGTCCCCAGAAACGGGATCTACCCACTGATGAACTTTGCTGCTGCTCGGCCCCTGGGGCTGCCCCGAGTGTTAGCCCCACCCCCAGAGGAGGCCCAGAAGGCCAAGACCCCCACGCCAGAACCCTTTGACTCTGAGACCAGAAAGGTGAGCCCCCCCATCCTGCTTTCCACTGCCCAGCAGGGTGCCCTTCACATGCCTGGGCTTTGAGGACCCCCAGCCCAGCTCTCCTCAAGGCTGCCAGAAACCAGGTCCTGCCTCTTCCCTCTGTGGAGGTTGGGAGGTGTTAAGAGAAGCTGGGATACCCCTTTCCCAGAGACTCCTTGCTCCCTACAAATACCCCTTGCTGCCTATCTCCATACAAGCTGCCCACTGATCCCACCTGTTCCAAGAGCCTTTGTCTGTGAATCTCATCTCCCCCGACCCTCTCTGATCCTCCCTCTTGGCTTGTTAACTCCCTGACATTTGTGTCCTTGTGTCTCCTCCAAGCCCTGCCTCCCCTGCCCCCTCCACATTGTTTTCCCAACCCCTCCTCCTGCAAATCTCCCTCCTGGCCAGGGCCCTCCCTGCCTCTCTTTCCATGTCCACACCCAGAGGTTCCAGAGGCCTTGGCTTTGCCCTTGTGTGTATCTTCATGGTCACTCCCTGATCTGGGCCACCTCTGTTCCCTGCCTGGATACTTCTCCAGCCCCCCTGCCTGGCGTCCTTCCTCTTGGCTTCCCTCTACACTGCAGCCAGAATTCATGTCCTAACAGCCAAAGCTGCCCACAGAGATCCTGGGGGTCCTCACCCCACCCCCCCGGGAACTCTGAGGCCTGGTTCTGCTGGCGTCCTGTGCTTCTGCTGACCTCTGCCTTCCCCTGCTTCCCACAGCTCCCTCTTTGTTCAGGTGCTCTCTCCACGGTGAAAACTCCTACTCATCCTTCAGTGAGAGGTGCCTTCTAGGCTCCCCTTTTCCAATCCTAACTGTCCCTCTGGGCACTTTGAGGTACATCTGCTCTTACTCCTCAGTTGCTGAGTATGAGCCTTTTTGGGTGACCTTGAGCTCCCACCACCCCTAGGTGATCCAGATGCAGTGTAACCTGGAGAGAAGCGAGGACAAGGCTCGCTGGCATGTGAGCAGGGCCCCAGGCTGGCGAACGGAGCCGGGGTGGGGGAG